CAAAGCTTTAATTCTCTGGCAGAACACGCGAAGTAAAATAGTATATGTGAATAAGAAAACAATGAAAAAGTTAGAGAAAATCGTAACATTTAATGCGAAACATGTTAAATTGCTAGCTTCATATTTGTAATAATTTAAAGAGGTAAAATAAAAACTAAAAACAATTTTATTTTGGCAACGGGAGTTACTTTTCACTCTTTCCAAGGCATTGTTGTATAATAATTTGGACTTTGTAACACATTTTGTTTTCAAGATATCTGTACAAAACTGACATATTCGCTCGGGACAAAACCGTATGTGGTTTTGCTTTTTATAGAATGTTCACCAGTAATGTTACTGTGCAGTATATTTGGTTTTACTCCGAAGTTGTTTAATTGTGTTAAATTTGGTTTAAAGCTCTTTTTGCCCGGGACATGTAAATGTTTTTCTTTGCGCTTAGACACAAATTAATGTTTGCATTCCTTCTTAAAAGCGTTCTTCTAGGATAAGAATCCAACAGAAGAGAAGTCTAAAATATATCATCGAAATTGCATCAAACTGCTTTTTGAGTATATTGATAGGTTTTGAAAAAAAAATTAATTAAACCTATACAATTTTCTTTGCTAAGTTGGTGTTTCATCTACTTAGAAACTATGTTTTAAACATTTGTTGACTTTCTGGAAGAAATTACCTTAAATTGCCCATTAAACTTTAAATATTTTATGTTACTACATTAAAGTTTATTTTAAATATAATATTTCTAAATTTAACGCTAAACACAAAATAAAAACTATTAGACCTTTGCTATCATTTTGGATTCCGTTACTGTATGAACATACGACTTCTAAAATAGTCTTTTTCTTCAGGTGCAAGTGGATATTAAGTTATCATTAAATGATACTCGATATATTTATTGTTTCGAATTGATTCACGTATTTTTAAAACAATTATTGGTTCGCTCATCACAAAATTTCTGTGTTGAATACCAACTCTTTCAAAAGCCTAGACTGGACCCTGCAGGCTAGTCCTTTGTATTGTTCTTTATTTCGTAAAGACTGTTCTAATAGTACTTGAATTATAACTATAACAAGATTTTTAAAATAAATGAAATTTATTCATTTTACCAGGGATACACACAGTACAATTTCTGGAACCGTGTCTTTTTAACCTTAAGTATTTATTAATAAAACAAGGAAGAGCGCTATAGTCGAGTACCTCGACTATCAGATACCCGTTACTGAGGGACAAAAGGGAAATGGAGATATGCAAGCAGCAAAGCGAGATTGAAATGCGCCACCTACCCCTAATCTCAATATATGGTTATGTGGGCGGTAGGCAGATTTAAGCGTTAAGGACGTTAGAGTGGGCGTGGCAAACTTTTTTTTGGGTCAATCGATAGGTATTGACGAAACAACACACTTCAGTTAAAATTTTTTATCTAGCATGTAAATTGTGGACGCCACAGGATTGGGCGGCTTGTGAGCGTTAGAGTGGGCGTGGCATATTCGCGTAACAAACTTGATCTGCGCTCAAGGCTACGGTATCTAAATCTGAAGTCCCAATTCTCTATCTTTTATAGTTTCCGAGATATCCGCGAAGTTTGTGGGCGGTTTGTGGCCGTTAAAACAGGCGAGGCAAACTTTTTTTGGGTCAATCGATAGGTATTGATTAGAGCAATACATTTCACTTAAAATTTTTATTCTAGCATCAAAACTGTATGAGCCACTGTTTTGGGCGGCTTTTGCCCAGCGTAAAAAGCTCAGGAATCTGCATGCCAAATCTCAATAGCCTAGCTCTTATAGTTTCCGAGATCTCTGCGCTTATACGGACAGACGGACATGGCTGGATCGACTCGGCCAGTGATCCTGATCAAGAATATAGGGTCGGAAACTCTTCCTTCTACCTGAATCATTTTTTTCGACGAATCTACTATAACCTTTTTCAATAAGTAAAAAAAGTGAGGAAGAATATGCAACCAAGCCAGATCCTTCAATCTTTCTTGACCCACAGTGTTTCTTAGGTAAGTTTTTATCCTTAGAAGACTGTTTGAGGAATATTTGGCCAAAGTTTTGAAGATCGGACTTATACTTCTGAAAATAATCATTGAAAGCATAATCAGCTAGCTTAATAGTTTCAGCTAAATTAAAGGTCTTTAATGGCAGTTCTCGTTTTAGGGACCACACAACGAAAAAATACAGATAAAGACACAGAAATATTTTAAATTTTGAGGGCTACGACACTTTTTTAACTAAATCAATTTCTAGAAACGAAAAATCTTGTCTAGTGCATTAATTTATAAGTACTCATAAGTTTAATTTAAATTAAAATAAGTGTACATACAAAATGTACGACCTCGACTATCAGATACCCGCTACTCAGCTAAGGGGAGTGCGACAATATTGCACACCCCAAAACGGCGCCCCTTAGCGTCGATTCCTTTATTTGCTTATAACTTTTCAATGGATGGTCCGATTTGAACCATGAAGATATATATTAATAATCAAAGTACAATTGCATTCATACACTCGGGAAAACACCGTGCTAAAATCAAGTACAAACAGCCTTGAATTAAGAACGATTTCATGCTTACCATTTAAGAACGTTCGTGCTGAAAAAGTTCTCACATTGAGCAAATGTTGAATTTAAATATCTAATAATTCCCAACTGTTTATTCTGAAAGTGCTCGGTATATAAAGCGCATAAATTACACAGTGTTAGTGCCGGTGAGCGGCAAGTCGTAAGTAAACTTAAATTATTTATATTATTTAGATATATCTCGTTTATTCCAGTTTCCAATACTTATGTTTTTTACTAAGCATATAATTAAAAACCAATTTAAATGTACAATAAATGTATATTGATTTAAGGACGAAAAGTTGCCTGCAACGTTCTTTCTTTATTATTAAATCGTTCTTGTTGTTAGTACAAATATGACTAGATTTAAAAATTATTCGTGCTTGATTGTACGCCGAAAGGTTCTGAAATTTAGTATTTTCGGTCTTGAAAATTGAATGCTTGAAAGCTGCATTTTGTTCTCGGGTTCTTTATTTTCCATGCTTGGCGAAGTCTTGACACCGAAAGTACTTGAATCAACCATGAAATACTGGATTTATTTTCTGAGTGCAGTTTTAAAAAGTCTTCAAGAGTGTGCTTCCTTCTACCTATTACATACTTTCCGACGAATCAAATACACCCTTTTACTGTACCGAGTATCGGTTATACAAATCCGCTATGTGGGCCATTCCATGTCCGAACGTCGGATTTTCGTCAAACTTGTTGGAACTTCCGGCTCACAGAGCCAAAAAAAATTAATTTGTACGGTATACGTGTTGCAATTTTAATGATCATTTGGGTAGGCATGACGCGTTCAGATAACATACTTTCGGTGAATCAATAGCTACTTTTTCCCAGTAACGGGTATAAAAACAAAAAAGAGTTTTTTGCATTTGTTAAAAAGTATGTACAAGAAAGCTTTTCCGGCCCCATCAATAAAATATAATATGCACTATAATCTTTTCCGTTAAATCTAAAAAATACTGCCACGTTTCGGCGTTGTAACCAAATCATCGAGTTTAAGAAAAAGGCAGAAAAGAATTTGGTTAAATAAGACGAAAAGCAACCACCATTCAAGAGTTGCGTGGTGGAAATGCTGTGCCCCAGGACCCATGCCTTCTCCCCCTCCCGCCATTTATCAGAGTCCTTTGTACCGAAAACCTCCTTCGAGACCAGCATTGGCTCTACCAAAGAAAATCGGTTTCCATCGCATTACAGCCCTACGTCCGCGCTGAGCTGTGCTTCCACGCCGTCATCATCAATATTTGAATTTAAAATTTCTTATTTTGCACAACACGCGCCATATTTATTTCTTTTCTTTTGATTTTTCTCGCCTCCGCTACCGGGGCTTTCTCTGCGTCCCATTTTCTATCGGTCCAGCAAGGCAAGCCGACCTACCCACCACCCACCACCCACCACCCACCACCCACCACCGCGACTCATTTCCAAGGTCCATTTCCACCCCCACACCACCTTGGCCCACAATTTCGTTTTGTTTTATTACGCGAGCATTTTCTTTCATTAATAGCCGCGAGGCATTAAATTTTTAAATCATCAACTGGCGCAAGGAAAGCGCAGAGTGGAAAAGGGTTCTGGGGGCCGGGAAAGAGAATGGCAATGGAATGGCGATTCGATGGAGGCAGGAGCAGGAGAAGTCTTCACTAATGATGTCCTGGGTACAGTCGCGTATAATTTTATACAGTGGGGCCTGGGCGAAGCGACTCTCTTTCCCTCCTGCAAGGACGAGTAACTCGATAACAAGTAACAAGTGATTCTGTGTCACCCAAGCAATCACCTTGAGGTAGGCAACCCTTTGCGCCGTCTTACCGGCGGCGTCCTACTTGAAATCGCACGCTAGAAGGGACTTCGGACTTTTGTCAGTTCAACGCATCCACGGCGCTGACAAGTTAGGAGCGGCAAGGATCATTTGTGCTTTAGTCGGGACGAAACAATCATATGCAAATTACCAGATCTTAAACTGGAAATCACCAACCCCCGAGTCCTGCACGCCAGTCACTCCCGAGAAACGGGCTCGCAGCTGCGCCCTGTCCCCTGAACCTATAGCCTGGGCCTAGTCCTGCTCCTGGACGGTGCGATACCGGACACTTGATGGCCTGACCAAGGGGACGGATCGCATCGCGGAAACTGGTTTTCTCACGCTAAGCCAAATCAATCCGGCTCACCATAGGGTTGGGCAAGGCCGGGCCAGATGGCCATGCGAGTGGGGTTGGGTCAGTTGGTTCGAATTTGCATAAACGGCCGACCTTCGGCAGTCGGAATCAGGACCGCTGCAAACTGGTCAGACTGGTTCTGCTTTGTCCTTAGCCAGCATATGCAACAATTCGAGCCCCTCCCGGGTGTCCTGCGCTGCGCTGCTCCTGTCCACTAGTCCTTAGCCCGGTTTTCCGCAGCGCAACTCACCACACGTCCTCTCTCACATGTGAGTATGGAACGTATGGGCTCGCGAGTCTCACTTGTCTCACTTCGAGTTCTGCTTCGAGCCGCCGCAGTTGATTTTAAGAAGCCAGCGCACACACGTGTGCGGAGGCCGTACGTAAACTTGTGTTCTTCGACTCACAGCATCGCAAGTCGCGGGTTTTCCAAGCTGTAGGATGTGGTAACTGGTATACCTCTACTCGCAGATTGCAGTACTCGGGAGAAACTGCATAGCAGGGAGAATTTTGCGACCCTCGGAATACTTATTAAGTTGACCCCTACCAACTCACTAATCAGCATCAATATATCCAAAATTGTTTCGGTTGCCAATAGAGCATACTGTTAGGGAGAGTCGATGAAGGACTGAAGAATTCCAAGAAATAGGCCTTTGTTTGGCAGCCTTTTTTAAGTTTTTTTATTTATGTATAATGTAATCTTTATTTTGTAGGGCTTACCTAATCGCCCAAAACAAATTCATTGTTTACTATAAAAAATGTCACTTAACTATGTTTTATTTGTTAGATAACTATCAAAATAGCTATTTAACCACAATCCATGGGTTGGGTTCAATCTACCCACTTTTATAGTATTACGTAAGAGTAACTATTTGATGGGTAAAATAAACAATTCGATGGTTGGTAACCGCTATACTATTAATTTTACCAAATGGTTTTTGGAGTGTAGGAATCCAAAAGCTTACAGTTCCAATTTCCGAAAAATTTGGCTTTACTTTGATTTTCCGCCAATTTTGGGAGTGGTAGTAAATCTCGAGCAGTTTAATACAATAATCCAGTGTCCAGGACCCTATAAGCTAATTTCTATGGCAAAAAGGTGCTTTGTATCAAAAGTTATAAAGTTTCGAACTTGAAAAGAAATTAAACGAGCTGTTTTAAAAAAATATCCATAAAGTGGCAAGAAAAACTTGTAACTATAATGTACACTTAGCACGTATCTGTAGCATCAGTCGTTTAGAAACTTTAAAATTTCCCGCCAAACTAGGGGGTTTTTCAAAAATGCAATAATCTGGAAATCGCGACCCCAAACTATAACGGGATGCACCCCTGTCACAAACAAAGGGACAATCATTTTAATTTTCAAAAGAGCATTTTATTTTAGGAATAACTTTTAAACGGATTTTTACAAAAGTTCGAATTACACTCGAAGCGTACTTTCAGTCAAATTGCAACGAGGCTTGATCCTGGGGGATCTTTACAGGGATCCACAGTGTAAGGTATAATTCTTTAGCTTTTTGTAGCGTTTAGACTTTGCTGACCTGTGTAATTGGACACCTTCAGTATATGTTATGGCTCTAGGGCAAAACGTGATTACAACTAGTAGCATATCTATAAGCTTGGACTCCAAATAAGTGTTATGTTTAAAAAATTAAAACGCAAAACAGCGTCCAACAAAAAATTCAAAAAATTACATTGAATTATTTTTATTTTTGCTTATGGCAAAACGTGATAAATTAAACACATTTATGATCTACGAGTCAATACCAATGACGGCGAATGGACCGCGTTGGACCGTTAGCTAAATTTGGTTTTATGTTAATCGAAAGCACGAATTCTTAAGAGCAAGATGAATTATCGGCACTCAATTTTTATTTACAAATTTGGAAATGAATAGTGGAGAATAAGACTAATTTTCAGTTTGTATAAAAAAAAGCACATAATATTATAATAAAAATTGCAGAAAAGACTTATTTTCAAGGTTTTCGGGTTGAAACTTTAATTTTTCAGAGCTTTTTGTTGTTCTTTTATTTTGGTTTATTAAGAATAATTACCTTTAAAAGGTTCGCTATGAAATGAACCCTATAAATGCTAAAAAACATTGTTTTTAATGCAAATTTAAAGAATACAAATTGGCCCATGAGCTTTTTTGGAAGAGTCACACAACAATTTCCCCAAGAAAAGGGTTTTGAGACTAGTGATTTCAAGGCCGGCGGTTGTTGCTGCAGCCTAAGCTTTAGAAAATCATTTTTTCACCTTGAGATATACAAAATGACATATTTTAACCAAAAAAGTTTTAATATCGAATTTTAAGGTCTTTTAAACCCTTTCTATAAACAGTGTTTTTTTGCTAATTTTTTAGAGATGTAAAAACCGTCCGCATTGTGGGCGTATCCAATATTACTAAATCCAATATTACTAAAAATGTAACCTTTAAAAAACAGAAAAAAGGTATTGTGCTGTAGCACAAAGAAGAATTGGTGCTTTTTTTGTGGCAGCTGTATGTACGTTTTTTGCTGCAATACATTTTTCAGGTAGTCATTAAAAAACAAGTCTCTTACGTGCTATATTATGATTTTATACAAATTATTAACAAAAATCCCCCCGTTCTCATAACCCACTGTTGGGTTATCCTCACCACCACATAAACAATACACGATTTTAAGATAGGCCTTGCCAAGTGCCTCTTCCCCAAAATGAATGTATTTATTTTTTTCTCTACACCATTTTGTTTGGTCCGCAGAAATAGGAGTGTCCCATTTGCTGATTTTCTTCTTTTCATTATTTTTGTTTTTGTAATTCCAAAACTTCCGCAAAATGAGGGTGGATTTGTATTGTGGATGGCTCGGACGAATGCTCGGCCAACCATTTTGTTTTCGCTCACTTCCAGAGTACTCACCCCCATCAGCACCAACATAATCAGATGCGGCATCTTAAAAACGCAGCAATCGTTATTTTTCTGTACGAACTTTACGATTATGTAACTCATATATTTTGAACAAAACTATCTTAGTTGCCTTTAAACAAAATAATTTCTTCTCTACATGTGTGTGAGCTTATACGACAATCATAGGTAATGTTTTTCATAACACCGTATGACCGAACCATTAGTTAAAACAAGGTCTCAAAATTATACCTATTAACATTTGCAAACACTGTTAAGAACATTTATTTATTCTCTTCGTTGCAGTTTAAAACAAGAAGTGCCTCGACTATCGAATACCCCGTACTCAGCTGAAGGGAGCGCAAGGCATATACATTTAAGCAATCGGCAAAGCAACTTTGTTCGGAATTGCAGAACGCCACATAGCGGCGATTACATTGTTTGGTCTAAATGGACGGTCCGATATAAATAGTTTGTAGGTAGATAAATTGACATCCAAAACAAATCCTATTTACCAAATTTACCTTTGATCTGCGCATGCTATCTTCACTTTCAAAAGACCTTTAAATCTAACAAACTTGCCCTGAATCATTTACTAAGGATTCAAAGTAGGAGTCGCAACCCTCTAGGTCTTATAGTTTCAGAGATCACATCGACTCGGCTAGTGATTCTCGACCAGGAGAATATAAATACTACCATTTTACTCTACTCTAGGTCCAGTAAAATAGATTGGCTCAAGTATAAGATACCCCTTATTTAACTAAAAGAAGCCCAAAGGAGATGCAGATATGCATGCAAGCAGCAAAGCCACTGATTCCGATATTGCACACTCGACTCGCTCCACCTATCAGGGCGCCATACAGAATTTATATATAAGAAATGTTCTTTTACGATTTCCATTGTGACTAAAGCAAACAAATAAATGAAAAAAGGGTTACTGCTATTTTAATTGTGTCGTTACTACTAACTTTACCGGATGCTTTGGGAAGCACTTCGTTTTGTAAATTGGTGTAATTAGGGGCTCTCGAATTCTCCGTTATTAGTCTATAACTAATGTTAAACTATTCTATACCTTTAGCCAGCTGACGCTATTTGGACGCACCCCTTAACAGACGTACCGGAATAAACTGGTAGACAGCAACAGCTAATAATTAGTCTAAAATATTCTTCCAGGTCTGCCAACAACATTTCGGAAAACTGGATTTCCTAGTCAATCAAGCTACCTACCAGTATATATAAAATTTGTTTACACATTAGTATCAACATGCTTCGATAGCTGCTGATTTTCATTTTAAATTGGAAATCGGAAACTGAAAACTGTTTAAAACTTTAAAACTGTTTATTATACGCGTTACTCGTAGATTAAAAGGGTATACTAGATTCGTCGGAAAGTATGTAACAGGCAGAAGGAAGCGCTTCCGACCCCATAAAGTATATATATTCTTGATCAGGATCACTAGCCGAGTCGATCTAGCCATGTCCGTCTGTCCGTCTGTCTGTCCGTCCGGATGAACGCTGAGATCTCGGAAACTATGGGAGCTAGGCTATTGAGATTTGGCGTGCAGATTCCTGAGCTTCTTACGCAGCGCAAGTTTGTTTCAGCAGAGTGCCACGCCCACTCTAACGCCCACAAACCGCCCAAAACTGTAGCTCCTACAGTTTTGATGGTAGATAGAAAATTTTAACTGAAATGTATTGGTCTTGTCAATACCTATCGATTGATCCAAAAAAATTTGCCACGCCCACCGCCGCCGGTAGGTGGCGTATTTTAATCTCGCTTTGCTGCTTGCATATCTCCATTTCCCTTTGGTCCCTTTAGCTGAGTAACGGGTATCTGATAGTCGAGGTACTCGACTATAGCGTTCTTCCTTGTTTTTAAATAACGTTTTTGATTGTGTATAGTCAAAAAGCGATTTATACATCGAAAAGCTCGTTTTTCCACTTAAATCCGATATAGTTCCGCCAGTTGGCTATAACTCCCTTGGTTTTTTATTTTTTTAATTAAATAAGTTATGTACTTTAAGGCACCAAAAACAGAATTTGAATATCACTTTTCTTTCATAAAACAAGATATGACTCACTGCTGCTTCACGGCAACTTGCAACACTAAGGTTATTGCCTCTTTGGGCTAGCACTGGATGTTTTAAGCGGAATGTGATCAAAACTAAGATCATGTGACCCATGTACAGCAAGAAAGTAGGACAAAATACCCTTATAAATAGCAAAATCAATTGTCGTTGAGTCCTTCCTAGCATCAGAAGGGAAGTACGTAGGGCCCTCTTGTACCTGTATCTGGCAGACTATGATTTAAGGAAACGCCTTTCGGGGACGGGCGGCTACAATCTTAAAATTGATTGTGAGCATTCCAGTCACCAGTATTGACAAATGATAATTCGGTTTAAAATTTCGCTCAAAAGTTTTTGAAGACTTGGGCAGAACACGAAAACGATGTGGGCAGTAGATAGAATAGAATAAAAGCAATCACGTTGACTTCCAAGTCCGTACTTTTTGCAAGTGAAAGCACTGGCGTTCCAAATGACGATACGGATGCCAGGACTAGACATGAGATCGGATCCTAGACGCATCAGAAGGCGATCTGCCGGAAACTGTTTCATAAGATGGAGCTTCTTTTATACTTAATGGGGTCGAAAACGCTTCCTTCTACCTGTTAGATACCTTCCGAAGAACTTAGCATACGCTTTAGCTCTAGGAGAAACTGGTATAATAACTAGCAAATTCAATAGAGTGTGAGAGGGATGGATTTAATTTTCTCTATTTTTATCATAATTAGTTTGCAGCTGGCACTAGACTAAGAGCCACAGGTAAGCGTTGCCTTAATTGGCTGTGACTGAAGCCGCAGTTAATGCACTTAATTGAACAGCATTTCGATATTCCCCACGTTTCGGTGACAATAAACAGAACGATTTGGCGTGTCCAATATATGGGCAATTAGAAAAGCAAATGACTGCACACGAATTGCCACTTTCGATTTGAGCTGAACGTCACAAATTCTATTCCTTTCATAAAAAATTTATTTATTTTCAACTTTACATTTCAACAAGTTCTCAAAGCTAGAAGCGATTATTGGACTGAATTCTAACAGGCAGCAAATCGTATGAGTAATTTTTAAGGAAACTTCAAGTCTTTTGTGCAACTCATAAATTCTAAAATAAAATATTTTAGTTTTCGGATATATTTGTTGCACACCAAAATCTACCAAATTTACCTTATATGCCATTGTGGAGTTAAAGATATATCTCTAGCAGCTACTAAGAAAGATAAAACAGTTTGGTAACGGGTAAATTGTATTCTTTGTAGTGCTATAGAGTTATTAAGAGATTATTAATAGTGCGTTTGCTGTGGTCCTCTTGCCAACTGTAATAATATAACTCCAATTAGCTTATTTAATACAGACAATAAAATATGGTAAAAAACTAAGGGAATGCTGTACGATTTTAAAGGAAGCTTTAGAAGAAAATTGGTTTTATGGTGGAGCGACATTTTGGCTTCCTTGTCTATCGGCCCCGTTCCAGTTTTCACTTTGGAAAGATTCACAAAATTAGCTAATCTTAACACAACTAATTTGCCAGACATGTTCCCAAAGACACATCCAAAAAAACGGACGAAACCTTTCCGTTAATCATTTGGCTGGCACATTTAAATCAGAAATTAATTGTTCAACAGGACCGAACGCTTGAGTTGATGTGCCCGACTATTAGATACCCGTAACGACGGAGATGGATATGGCTAATTCCAGGGAGTCGTTTGGGACGTTTGGAAAACAAAGGATATTGATAATTTTTAGTTTGCTTTTTTACTTTACTTACTTTACTTTACTTACTTTACTTTACTTTTTTACTTTTTAGTGTTCCCAAGCTCTATCTTAATTTTTGAGGAATCATCAAATAGCTGTCGTATTGGCTCGTGGCAAAAATTAATGTCAGGAATGTCCTTCAATAATGTAACTGTGAAATAGATTTGAATTTCGAAACGCTTCTTCTTCCCATTACATACTTTCCGACGAATCCAGTATTTCCTCTCCTCTACGAGTAACGTCCCTTGGTCAATGTCTAATTTATACATTAAGTTAAGTAACATGTTAAGCTAAAACATATTTTTGGATAGAACGAATCAATAATCTTTCTTACCAAAGTAAAATAAAGATAATAGATAATGTTCAGATTTCATCTTAACAAAATACTTCTTTGAACATACAAAAGTTCTGATATCAAATTTTGTGACGGTAAATAAATACTCTTTCTAAAATGTTTTCATTCTGCCCGCTTCATCACAGTACTTGAGATTCTCGCACACAAAGGCATATTCAATTGTAGCGGGTCGAATGTCTCAATAAGAATAAGACTACGCTAATAACCTGGGGCCTTGATCCCCACTGGCGGCAGCAGCTTCAATTTTCAAAATGTTTACTTTTACCAATTGAAATTTTAAGTCTGGGTACTCAATCCATTTAGTTTTTGCGATACCCCGATTTCCGTCTTTCTGTAGTCTTGGAAACTATAATAGCTAGAAATTTGGGACTAAGCAGATACAGATTCAATTTGTTTTAGCAGAGCGCTCACTCTGTGTAACACATTCTTAAAGATTGGGTTCGGTGTAAATTGAAATCCAATAATCGTACCATTCACAATATTATTTGAAAAAAGTTATAGATAAAAAGTGATTGCTGACATTCGTCAATACCTATATGCCAAAAACCGAGCCAACCATTTTTGGAAAAGTTCATCATGACTAACAATTAATACGTACAAAAATATGTTTCTATGCATGAGTGTAGTGGCGCCGCATTAAAACTATTTCAAACAAAGCTACTTATCATTTTATTGAACAAACAATTAATTAAATTGGTATATCATAGTCGAGGCACTCGACCATAGCGTTCCCTCTTCTTTTTTATGGGACCCAAACCCATGCATACATTTGTTTACCTTTTTTCATTATATTTTTAATGGAAGAATTTACAGTTCTCTTAACATCGATTACAATTAAGTTGAGAGTAATATATATTAATAGCGTTTTACATATGTATAGTTCCTTAATTGCATTTAACACAGAGAGCAGCGTACATAATAATTAATAACAGAAAAAAGCTGCAGATCACTAAAATTTCAATGTTGATTAATTTGTACATATTCGAGAGAGGGTTATCTATCATGTTCAAATATGTATCGAAATCTGCTTAAACTAGTGGGATGCTATATTTAACTCATATGTGACTTGTCTAAATGGTGCAAAATGAAATATTTTATTTCAAACGTTCTTATTTGCATTTACATATATTTATTTTCTCCTTTGCAAAAACATCTACGGTAATAAGCTTAGTAAAAATCTTATTTAGAGATTGATGTCTTATCTTGGAGACTAGTAAACAATACATGGCGAGGGCTGCAGAACTAATAGTGTTCATTTGTTCACAAAGAACGCTGGAGTTGGTGATAAGTTGGGCGGCATCGTTATCATGTTGCCCTGCTGCTGCTGGTGCATCTGCTGTTGTTGCTGACTTCTGGTATTTGTTGCGTATAATTGTTGCTGAAAACTGTGATATTGCTGTGCATACTTTAGATCATTGGAGGAGGGACCGACGAAATTGATGCCGGAGACCCCATTCGTTGGACCAACATTTCCGGCAGCAGACATTAAATTATTATTGCTAGGCCCAATTAATGACTGACCCTGCCCTTGACCTTGGCCTTGCCCCTGCAGCTGGATCTGTCCTTGTGACACTGCAGGTCCAACTCCCAACCCAGTTTGATTTTGACACATTCCGGTGGGCATGTTCTTCAAGTGTTGGGGTTTAGGCTGATTAGACTGTTGTGCTCCTGCAAACATGGGCGGTACCGCGCTGTTGCACGTAGCGTTATTAAAAAACGCTGTGGGATCTCCGACGCAGTCCATACCATCCGACCCATGTGGAAACTGAAT